ATAAAAAATGTTTTTATATATCTGGATCAAAAAGTAAACTTTGTTTTTTGAAAGGAAAAATCAAACGCACGTTCGTATGCCGAGAAAATATGTTGCTGACAGAGTTGGTAGGATGTGCTGGTGTTAAGATGAGATATTCCAATTGTGATTTTAATGACTACATTTTTTTAACATATCTTTTTGGACATTGAAGAAAGAGTAACGTACATTTCAAGCTACATTTCTGAATAAAATCACCCTGTACTTTACCGTCTTGTCATTATTCCATGTATTAAAATTTGATGAAAAAAAAATCTGGAAACAAAATCTTCAGATACTTTCTTTCAAAGGTAATTGATAGAAAAATTGTTATCTTGAACTTCATTTTTAAAAAATCAGAGAGGCATTTGTGCCCTTATATTGAGAATGGGTGTGTAACCACACTGCAAGTATTTCCGTAGGTAGCAAATATTAAAATATATGACAAAACTTTGATTGTAAAGATTTTATTGCATAATGGTGCAAAAAAAAGGCCACAATGTGCAATACTGTAAAATAGAAATTCATGATTATCAATACCTTGATAAGAATGCTATCATGTATACAATGTATAAATTACTTTTTTTCTAAAATACCCTTTTTTGATGTCTTCAAAGTACTTTGTATTTAATGTATACTCCTAGCTAGTAAAATTTTCCATAGTATGAAACAACTGCATAATGTTATTCAAATCGAAACTAAAAATAAATTCAAATGTATCCTACCTAATTATAAACACTAAACAATGGAAATAAAATGCCCTTCACATGGCAAAATTTCTGGTATTCATCACAGTCAAACTCCGAATTTACAGAAAAGGTAGATAAATATCTATTACAACAATTATACATCATAAAGAAATTTTTTTAACTAACATGATTTCTCAAATTTATTTAAGCTTTGCTACTAATTCTTGGATTTTTCCCTCATCTGCTCCAACTACTTCATCCAGCTAAAAAAAAAAGATACAAAAAAAATATATTAATTTAATATAAAGACATTAAAGGAAACAGCTTTAAAATTAATTTTAAAAGAACATTTCATAATTACAATTATGCATCAAATCATGCATTTTTCTTCTCTAGGCAAAGAAACTTTTTTCATATGAATATCTAAGAATACGATACTCTAAATTCCTAATTAGAGGAATTTATTACCGCGTAATTTTGCGGGAAGCATCACTCTCGAAATAGTATAACTTGCTTTTGTTTTAATGTTGCTGAAACCCATGTTTATTCTCTTGATCAACTGCCTTTTTGTGAATTCATATTCTCACTATTTGATGTTAAAGAGCCATTTCACGACAAGTACCCACGAAAAATAAGGAATCTACAGTATATAACTATCAACAGCTCTCTACCAACCTTTTCCCCATTCTTGTAGAAGTGAAATGTTGGCATGGCTGAGATTCCACAGGCTTCAGCAGTATCCTACCACAAAAACATAACCATCATCATTATAATTTCATTATAAAATTTCTAGATCAAGAGATAATTTCATTAAAAAATTACACAAATTTGGTATGTGAATCTTCCATCTTTCATTTAAATCAGAGACTTACAGAATTTTCATCAACATCAACCTTGACGAAATTCACGTCGGGATTGGCAGCTTCCATTTCCTGTAATAAAACAAAAAACACAGATTTATAGACAAAGTAGGAGGACTTTATTTTACTCCAACACAAAAATATTATCACATATAGTATCATTTATAAACACTGAAACAAGTTTATTGACAAGCATGTAAACCAATAGAACAGGCCTGTATTTTCAACTAATTTTCTCTCACAATAGATACCGGTACATTTTTTGGAAGGCCAAGAATTGATTACTTTAAATGAAAATCTCATTTTTGGTCCATTGAATTTTATCAGGAGAGAGTTCTTTTGATAAAATATGAGGCAATTATAAACAATATTTTTGGCATGACTTAATGCAAGCTTTCTACATTACAAAATAAAATAGATTATTGGGTTTTTTTTTCTTTAACGTAGGTCGCGGGTTTGCTGACGTCATTAAAACTGGGTACGCAATTTATATGATTTGGGCGACTTTCTTGTGCACATCTGATTATGACGTCACGGCGAGAAAGGGAAAATTTCAGTACATTATCTAGCTGTAACTTTTGTTGAAATTGATAGTTTAGTGTAACATATTCATAGAACATGCTGAAGTTATAAAAATAATGAAGGCTTATTTTGATTCGAGTGACCATCACTGAAAGTGTTGGAAGCGTTTCATTACGTATCATCAATCGCATCTTCTCGGGTCTATTCTGAGAGCACATGTACTTGTTTCGGAAATAAATTTTAAACCTTGTATCATGTATGATTTATAAATATTAAATACTGGTACATGTATTAAATGAGTATAATTTTAAAACAGGTTATCTAACTCCGAATTACACTCGATACCCCCTCCTCAGAAACGCACTCATTTTATTGTACACTTTCAGTTGAAATGCACTAAACAAACTGTTTATTAGCATTGTCTTCTACGATAATTTATCTACACAACAATATATGGCATGCATGTCTTTGTTTTCATTTCTCTCCGTAAACAGCGTCAAAACTTTGAAAGTCGAACTCAATTATGAAACGGTATGTGCTAATCTCAGACAAATCTATATAAAGGTTGATCACAAATTAAAAACTGCTAAGGCACCTCCGGGGTAATCTGAATGAAACATAAACTAAATTATATATATTATATATACATTTTTTGAGTGGCATTGACCTCTTATAAATAACCACAGGCACGTAGGATATGACCCCCTCCCTCTTTTCCTTTTTTTACTTCCTAACGCCAGGGATGAGTAAACTTTTTCCATTTTTTAAATTTTAACTCCACCCTATATGTGACCGTTGATTTAATCGAAATATTTACTAATCGGAGGTACATAAAGAATTATATAAATGGAAATCTGAAAAGGAAAAAGAGTGTTTTTCAAATTTATCAATGTCTGCATATTCCATGATTCTCTACGCTTTATAGATAGTGATTATGCAAGTGAAGATTGTGAGGCAGACGTCGAGAATAAAAACAAATTGCAAGCCGTCTCTTTTTATGTATCAGTCGAAAACGAAAAACGTATTTAAAAACAGCATAAAGAGATAAAAGGGTAACATTATTAATAACATGCAATACGTATCAAAAATCCAAAATAGGGAAACCCCCAGAAAAACAGAAATGGGGGGGGGGGGGGTCGATACTCCAATTGCCTGTGTAAGTAACGGCACGCGTTGTTGCTAGTTACATGTAGATATTTTATTCGCTGCGTTGCTTTCCATGTTCATTCAGTAGAATTAATGTTATATGTATACAATGATAGTCTAAGAACAAAATAAAATCTGCCTGTTGATTGTGCCTAATAAAACTAATGTTTAAATTATCGTCCCATTTACCCCTCTAAATTCCTTTTAAGTGTGCATTTTTTCTATCGTTATACGTATATTAATCATAAAATAAAATCAAATTAAGATTTATTTTAGTTAAGCCTATTTGCTGCCTCTTTGTAAACAAAAACATTTTCCATATAAACACTGAATGCATTAATACTCATACTCGGGGGGGGGGGGGGGGGGGGGGGGGGGGGTATTTGACGGAAATTGATTCATCAGAAGTTGATTTGATACCCTTGCTGAATTTTCTTAAGAAAAAAGATATATACAAAGCGTAAAAAACATATTTCGGTGTTGAGGGTTGGGGATGTTAGTAGTCCTTGACTTCTAAATTATCTTCATACCTATGACTTTTCAAACAAACTTAGATCACAGATCTGCGATTTCAATAGAGATGGAGAGTCTGCCTTTTCCAGGGGGGAATACAAGGTCACTTTTATTTTCCAAATTTCGGCGAGAATCCGCGCATGAATAAAAAGAAACGGTAAGAAATAACCACATAAAGAAAATTTAAAAAAAAAGGAACTAAAGGATTGATTGTTGGTTTACGTCGTTTACGTGAATTTTCACTAAAATTAGACATAATAAGCTGAAAGGGAAAAATGTCTAATAGTTATTTTATTGAATTATTAATATGATACTGGTCATTTGAAAGCAGATATACATCAATTTCCTTTTTCTTAAATTCCGTATAATTTTTTTTGTGCTCTGTATACCGGGTCGATATTCACGACGTCAAGCGTGACGTCGCGATATTTTATGACGTTCTTAAAAATGCAACATTTTTCAATATAAAAGCAATTATTTACAATTTGATTACGAAAAAATGAACCCGAAGACATATTATTTTTTTTACATAGATTTATATCAAATCAATTCTACTTTTAAATACCAAAGGATAAACAAATTCGTCTGCACGATTTAAAAGTTATTGATATTTTTTAAATCAAAACCTTGCCTGAAAACAAGCCAAAAACGACGTTTTTCCTATACAATTCAATAGAATACCGTTGAAAATGTAACTACAACAATGACATCTTTGGAATTCAATTACACTAAAACGGTGCAGACGAATTTTATGAAATTTTCAGAGGATGGAAATCAAAGGTAGAGAAATCATATAGGTAATTTTCATGGTATGTTTTTGAACACTTTCAAAAGCCCTGTAAACCCGCGACCTACGTTAAGTAACTCAACTCTCATAAAAGCTAACATCACAGAAAGTTCTAAGCAAAATCATATACGGTACTGAGTAACAGACTGAGAGATGAAAGCAGCAAGGCCACACTGCCTTCCTGGACAGTTATTCTAAATGTTAATTTTCACGGAATCTCCCCTCAAAAATTTTCAACCAGGGGCTCATTTCTAAATCACTAGGGAATTCCAAAATATTAGAAATCTGTAATATGTGTATTAAAGTCATTTTTTTCCAGCAAAACTTTGTGTTACATGTACTCTCTAATAAGATAAAGAAACAAGAGGCCCAGGGGCCACATCGCTCACCTGAGCAATTGGCTAGGAAAAAACACAGATCAGATCAGAAATAAAAGTAAACTGGGTGTGGGGGGGGGGGGGGTGGCTTGAATTTTACAACCCCCCCCTAGGGGGTCATGATTTGAACAAACTTGAATCTACACTACCTGAGGATGATTCCCAATAAATATAACGAAGCCTGGCTTTGAAGTACTTGAAAAGAAGATTTTAAAAGGTTTCCCTATGATCCTATGTAAAACTTTCATCGGCCGTTTTGGCCCCACCCTACCCCCGGGGGTCATGATTTGAACAAACTTGAATCTACACTACCTGAGCATGCTTCCATATAAATATGATGAATTATGGCTTTGTCATTGTTGAGAAGAAGATTTTTAAAGATTTTTCCTATATATTCCTTTGTAAAACCTAGATCGGCCATTTTGGCCCCACCCAACCCCCGGGGGTCATGATTTGAACAAACTTGAATCTACACTACCTGAGGATGATTCCACATGCGTTTCATCTTTCCTGGCCCAGTGGTTCTTGAGAAGAAGATTTTTAAAGATTTTCCCTATATATTCCTATGTAAAACTTTGATCGGCCATTTTGGCCCCACCCTACCCCCGGGGGTCATGATTTGAACAAACTTGAATCTACACTATCTGAGGATGATTCCATATCAGTTTCTTTTTCCTGACCCAAAGGTTCCTGAGAAGAAGATTTTTAAAGATTTTCCCTATATATTCCTATGTAAAACTTTGATTGGCCATTTTGGCCCCACCCTACCCCCAGGGGTCATGATTTGAACAAATTTGAATCTACACTACCTGAGGATGATTCCACATGAGTTTCATCTTTCCTGACCCAAAGGTTCTTGAGAAGAAGATTTTTAAAGATTTTCCCTATATATTCCTATGTAAAACTTTGATCGACCGTTTTGGCCCCACCCTACCCCCGGGGGTCATGATTTGAACAAACTTGAATCTACACTACCTGAGGATGATTCCACATCAGTTTCATCTTTCCTGGCCCAGTGGTTCTTGAGAAGAAGATTTTTAAAGATTTTCCCTATATATTCCTATGTAAAACTTTGAACGGCCATTTTGGCCCCACCCTACCCCCGGGGGTCATGATATGAACAAACTTGAATCTACACTACCTGAGGATGATTCCACATCAGTTTCATCTTTCCTGGCCCAGTGGTTCTTGAGAAGAAGATTTTTTAAAAATGTCATTAATTTTTCTCTAATTCATAATTATCTCCCCTTGGAAAAGGGCGTGGCCCTTCATTTGAACAAATTTGAATCCCCTTCACCCAAGGATACTTTGTGCCAAGTTTGGTTGAAATTGGCCCGGTGGTTCTTGAGAAGAAAATGAAAATGTGAAAAGTTTACGACGACAACAACGACAACAACGACGACAGACAACGGACAAATTTTGATCAGAAAAGCTCACTTGTGAGCTAAAAATGTGAAAAAAAAACAATTAAGTATAATTTGTGCAAAGTACTTGTATTAACATCAATACGAAGATCAATATATTATGTTCAATACAATCTGTGCTTAATTCTAAATGCAACAGGTTTTTGATATTATTATCGGTAATGGTTTGAAAATAGCTAGCTATCATATAACTTGCTCTAATCATGAGCTGTGTTTCTACCTTGTGAATTAAATTTCATTTTTTAAAATTCTAGCTCTCTTGTCAGTAATGTCAAACATTTACAAATTTTTAGACCAGTTATATTTTCCTTTCTGGTATGCATCATAGATTTCTTGTAGCATGACCTTACCATTATTTTTTTCCAGATCAGTGACCTAAAGATACGCAGCTCCTTTAATGTGAAACACAATTGCAATACCATCAAATACTACGTTAATTACTTATTCAAGCACATATGTGCTTGATTTATTATTTAACAAAGACTCATTTATTAGACAAACACCAGTATTCTCTTGAGTTAAGCCTTCCGAAGTAAAAATTGATTTGTACCTATCGTTATTTAAGGCTTTCAGAAGTAGACATTGATTTGTACCTACCTCTATCTTAGGCTTTCAGAAGTAAACATTGATTTTCATTATACTTTCATGTTAAATACTAAAATCTGATTGGTTTAGACGCAGTTAACAATCCGTTCTATTACCCTCAGCCTTAGCGACACACGTGACAACGGGTAACACAACGGTAATGTCACATGCGTGGAAATTATGCGCGTACGGTTCACCGTAGAATTCTCAAAACATCAGTTGTGCGTTTGAAAGCCGGAATAAACTTGACGTCAATAAAAGCTTGCGTCCGATGTAGCTTACTTGAAAACAACAAACGACAGACGAAACATGCTTGCGAGTGCAGAAATAACGAAACTTTAGATGAAAGGACTCTTACAGTATCAGATAAACAATAAAGAAGTCAGTAAATCTTTTTCGAAGTAGTGTGGAGTTTGAAAGCTTTCTAAACATGAACGTAAAGACAATCGACGATTTTTTTTCTGACATCCTAAATCAAGAAGACATTCAGTATAATAAAATAAATGGTGCCTGTTTTTGGAGGGTAACAGTTGAAATTGACACCCCTCGGAAAACCATTGTCAACCTCCGCTGACGCGTTGGTTGACAATGGTTTCCTTGGGGTGTCAATTTCAACTGTTACCCTCCAAAACAGGCACCATTTATATAGTACCTACCTCTATTTTAGGAGCAATCATTCTGCATGGTCCACACCACGTGGCATAGAAATCAACCACGGTGAGTTTGCCCTCGGCAATGACAGCGTCAAACTGTGCCTGTGGAAGGGCAAATGTGAAAATATTTCATGAAAGTCTGCAGATGGGTAAAACATATGGCATATACTACATGTAGGTCATATGCCATAAAATGGAATACGTTAAATATATTGTAAAATCCTTTTAAATCATAGACTGTAATATTATATAGATTAAATACTGTATACAGGAAAATTCTGGTCCCTATTTTATTTTGGCCCCTTTCCCCCATCCTCCTTTGGGTGAATTTAAAACAGGACAGTTTCAAAGAATAGAGTATAATTTCTTAAACAAAACTGTGACTATAGGCAAATTTAACAAGAGGCCCAAGGGTCTTATAGGTCACCTGAGTATCATGAAACAACTTTCCAAAAATTGACTTTGGTTCGTGTTTTAAACCAGATGCCATGAAATTCACAATTCTGAAAGAGGCACCATTGCTTATCATAATTATACACTTAGAATGCTTACTCTAGTTACTACCCAGAGTTAGATCAGAGTAAGAAAGAGAAAATGCATTTTCACTTTATAACCAGTCGTGCACCCCATCCCGAGGAACCACTGACCCTGGGGCCACATATTTAAAAATTTTGGAAATTTTATCATAAATTTTATTTCATCATAAATGGTTGATTAATACCACAGAGCAGATTTCAAAGCTCTTCAGATTATGTACTGTTACCCCTCCACCCCCCCACCCCCTCCCGATACTCCTGACCCAGAGAACATGAAATCAATCATGCTAGATGCACCTTTCTTCATCATAAATATATGTACTAAGATCATTGGCATAATACCTAGGAGCAATGGAAAAGATTTTCAAAGAATTCATGCATTTTTACTATATATAATGATTACCGGTAGAGCCCCACCCTAACACCAGAACCCCTGACCCAGGGGCCATGAAATTCACAGTTTTGGAAGAGGCATCCTTCCTCCTCATAACTATGTACATGTATAGAACTGTGCATAGCAGAGAAGAAGATTTTTGAAGAATTAATGCATTTTCACTATATCATCAATGGAGCCCCGCCCTAACACCAGAACCCCTGACCCTGGGGCCATAAAATTCACAATTTTGGAGGATGCACTCCTGTTAATCATAACTATGTACTTAGTTGGTTTCTTTAATACCCAGGAGGAGAGAAGAAGATTTTCAAAGAAATAATGTTTTTTTACTATACAATCAATAGAGCCACACCCTAACACCAGAGCCCCTGCCCAAGGGGCCATGAAATTCACAATTTTTGAAGAAGCACTCTTGGTCATCATAACTATGTCCTTAGTTAGTTAATTAAATATCCAGGAGCAGATAAGAAGATTTTCAAAGAAATAATGCACTTTTACTATATGATCTACAATGTATATAGCCCCACCCTAACACCAGAACCCCTGACCCAGGGGCCATGAAATTCACAATTTTAGAAGAGGAACTCTTGATCATCATAACTATGTCCTTAGTTAGTTAATTATTAATAAATATCCAGGAGCAAATAAGAAGATTTTCAAAGAATCAATGCACTTTTAATATATGATCTATATAGCCCCGCCCTAACACCAGAGCCCCTGACCCAGGGGCCATGAAATTCACAATTTTTGAAGAGGAATCTTGGTCATCATAACTATGTTCTTAGTTAGTTAATTTAATACCCAGGAGCAGAGAAGAATCAATGCACTTCTACTATATGATCTATATAGCCCCGCCCTAACACCAGAGCCCCTGACCCAGGGGCCATGAAATTCACAATTTTTGAAGAGGAACTCTTGATCGTCATAACTATGTTCTTAGTTAGTGTATTAATAATCCAGGAGCAGATAAGATTTTCAAAGAATCAATGCACTTTTACTATATGATCTATATAGCCCCGCCCTAACACCAGAACCCCTGACCCAGGGGCCATGAATTTTATCAACAGTTTGACTTCTTGATGTCCAGGAGTAAAGAAGAAGATTTTTAAAGATTGCATTAATTTTAGTGGTTTTGGCCCCACCCCTCAGGCCCCAGGGGGGCAGGGACCATGAAATTCACAATTTTTGTTCCCCTTCACCCATAGATGCTGTATACCAAATTTGGTTGAAATTGGTTCAGTAGTTCCAGAGAAGAAGTTAAAAATGTTCAAAAGTTTACGACGAACGACGACAGACAAAAACGGATAGCAATAGGTCACCTGAGTTTACTCAGGTGACCTAATAAAACGGGACAAAATTGTTTTCAAGCGTGAAAGAGCGAAAATAACATGGGGGCGAAAATAATCCTGCATACAATAAATTAATTTTTCAGCAATAGATCTGCAGCTCACTGATATGCATGAAAAAAAAATAATACAGTGAAACCTTGTTATCTCGAACTCAATAGGACAGAGAAAATCTTCCGAAATATCCAAGGATTGAAGACATCCATGGTAATGCACATAAAGAATAAGGGGTTAACTTCAATTCAAAACACGTGGACATATCCATGGTATTGGAGATACTAAAGTTCAGCTGTAGTACAAACAAACAGAGATAGCAGTTTAATTACACAAAAACATGCTTAGTTATAGTGCCCACGATATATTCAGCTGAGCTGGTAATATATAGAAATCTAGGACCATTAAATCAGCATTAATGGTTGCAAATAACAATTGAGAAGATAGTTATTTCCATTCTTATGTAATTAATGCAATTTGTTAAATCTTTATATAACATTTTTGGATAAGTTTTCCTATTATGTCACAAATATAATAGGTATCACTATAAACCCTGAAAAATGCTGAGTCACACCGGAAACAGTTTTGTCATACGCCGGAAACAATTATGTCCCCCCAACGGAAGCAGTTATGTCACCCTCTCAATCACGTTCACATGTTTTTAGTTGCACATTTTAGCTCGGGTTCAAGATTTTATGACGT